AGTCCACTCACAGATTATCTCCTTTTTTTATTGCTAGCAAGGATAACCTCCACTCTTCTCACTCTTCGTTAGCACAAAATCAATGACGGAGAGTGAGCTGCTGCACCGGTCTTCGTGAAGGAAGAAAAAACACGAGAATTGCTGGATGCTTTTTTTCTGTGTTTTGTTCATGCGAGGGAGCCATTCGTTAGGAACGGAAGTTGCAATTCTTTTGTTTCAAACGGCAAACTGCAAAGCATTTCCACGTGAATAAATTTCTCTATATTTTCTTTAAAAATCCTTCAATCCAAATAGGCCTCAATGGGTGGTTATACCTTGTATTTGTACGTACGTTCCACCGACACGGTGACGAAGCAGCTACAGATTTCGCAAGCTCGTCGCACGGTATGGTACAGGGAGGGAGAGTTGCCGTACTTACGTACGTCTCGGCAATGCCTTCCGCAGGATCGCGCGGTACGTACGGTGTCGGTGTGGCTGCTCCGTGCGACCGTGCCATGCTTATGCTTCCCTCTCCGCTCATTTCCCAAGCATCCATGATCCGACGGTGCATCCAATCCAAGCGTGCAGCCGTGCCTGCGGGCGAAGGCCGAATAATGGTTCGCGTCCCCAGTTCGTTTCGCTAAAATTTAGCTTATACTGATTTGTTATGAGAGAAAAACATTATTCGTTCGTTGAAAAGTACTCCTGAAGTAGTTCAAGCGAACAGGACGACATGCGATGCACACATGCGATGCACACGTGACACGTGCTACTCCCTAGCTAGAAGAACACAACTGAAGTACAGTGCTAAGCCAAAACAAGTTACGTGTAATATAATCATCAAATTTATATAAAATCATAATAGATACTATGTATTATTAGATTCGATGTGAAATTATGAATAATGTTTATAAATATTAATACTATTTGTATATAAAATTAACTAGGCTTAAAATATTTTGACTTAGGCTAAAATCTATTGTTTGTTGGATGGAGGTACTACATCCGTCCTTAAAAAACATTTTGTTTTAGAATAAATTAAGACATGTGTTATGTGTGAAATGGTGAAATTTTAGATAGTTTGACTAAGTCTAGAAACAAAATTACATTCTTTTCGGATAGAAGTAGTGTATGCTTACTAGTACATTATTCAATAAAACTTGACACTCTAGGATTCACTCATTAGCTGCCATGGTTCTAGAAAATGGAACAATCCCCCTGATTAATAGATACTACAATTTTAATGTAAGTACCAAGTCAAACCATGGTGAATCTGATTATTTTATACTCGTAATGTACACAGCAACACTTGCTTTTCGTTCTCGGTCTGTTGCTTTGCCGGCGACCAACTGAATAGAAAAGAGGACGTTGTGATGATGAACGCCACGCACTCTACGCTCGTGTCCATATGGCCAAGCCTCAAGCAGCTGTACTGTATTATCCCCCGCTTGCATTTGTTCATTCTTGTCGCCAACCTGCCATTTACCCTAACCAATGGAATGGAACATGCTACGTACTCGGCTGAATTTCTTTTCACCTGGCCCTTTTGTTTCGTGCAGGACGGCAAGGCCGGCGCATCGGTGCGTACGTATGATGCAATTGTTACCTAGTCATCTCCCAGGAGAGAAGACTATAAGAGGCCACCTAAATGGAACGCTACTGCCTGCCCCCGTCCTTGAATAGTTTGAGTTATTTTAAATCAATCATTTTTAAATTTAACTAGAATTATAGAAAAATGACAAAATTGTGATATCAAATTAATATCATTTGATACGCCATAACATGTACTTTCATAGTGTACTCATTTGGTATCATCGATACTTGTATTTTTTTAATAAATAAGTCAAATATAAAGAAACGACTCAAAAAAACTCTAAAATTTGATTTATTCAAAAACAGAGGTAATATATATTTGGATCTACTAGTGCTAATAGTTAGCTAACTAATAGAATTATTAATAAGACTGTTTAGTATGGAGATGGACGAATAGTGTATATGAACTATTAGCATTCTCCACCAACTAATGAAGTAATGAGTGTTGTTATAGTTTGTTTGACTACTCCATATGTTAATTTCTTTCCCTTCTTACTTCCACCAGCTTGCATTGTTTGACTCAACCCGAGTTGACCAACCATCTGCTGCCTCGTTGATTTTTAGATTATTGTTCCTTCTCCATGACCCTGGGGATAAGCAATAATTCTTGGAGGTATGATGCCTTTCTTAATTATCGCTTTTTCTTGTGTTATCGGCGTTCTCAAGGGCGGATTCAGAACAAAGAAACTTTGATGTCACTAGTATTCCAAAGCATGTCTATTTCTCAACGTCTGTAATACTTTAGCTTCGTATTTTAGAGATTCATTGTTGTCGATGACATCACCAAAACAGCTTTTGATTCGTCTCTCCTAAACAACATCCAACTATCAACGTTATATCAACCAGGCTCTGTTTGGAACATAGGATTATATATATATATATATATATATATATATATATATATATATATATATATATATATATAATGTTTTTTTCTTTAAAATTAAATTGATTTCCGTAAAATTTCGATGAGATTTATCAAATTCTTGGTTTCGAAATTTTCCGCTGCGAATGAGTTAATACTTTCTACACCAATAGGAGCGCGAGGATATCTCTCTGTTCCGGCGTGTCGTCCGGTTTTAAAATTTGGAAGCAAACGGCCTCGGAGTCTGCAGCCGGCGGGCGCTCCGTCCTCACGTGTGCTGCGTGACTTCCCCACCCCACTCTCCAAGACCAAAAAGAATTCGTTCATTTATGGACGGATGCTCTCACATCATATGCCGTGGCCCGTGGATATCGATCTCTGCTCTGTGCGCAGGGTGACCAGTGGGTCCATCTCATCTCATCCTCTTTGGATGACCGGTTTTTATTCAAGGCTTGAAATCCAAATCCAACACAAAAATAAGCATGGGCTTACTGTATAAACAAAGTGACGTGGTTCTAGCGTTTGCAAACGCCAAGGGTGTGGTACAACAGACACCGACTGTCCGACGTTAGGTTAATTATTAATAACGAGCTTTGTTTCGGGGTCTTTGAACAAGCTAGGCCACTTCATTTTGAGATTCTTGCGATTAAAAGCAACTCCAAAAAACTCTCTATATCCTTCTTAAATGCTAGAAATAGAGATTTTGGTAGAAAACTACCCTCCAATAGCTTCTTTAAATGGTTATCCAAATATAGCCACCTTCTATTCTAGCTTTTTCGCTAGCAAAAAATAGAAGACGAGTGCACATGAGATATAGAAAAACCGCTAGAGAGTGAAAAGATATAGAAATCGATTTTTATGCAAATGACTCTCTAAATGATGCTTTAGAGAGTTAGGTTTAGAAAGGCTTTTGGAGATGCTCTTATCCTGCTAATCCTCGACTCAGCGAGAATTTGAGGAATATTTTCGCACCAGTATGTCATGATTTTTTTTGAGATAATAGAGCATGTAACGAATGATTTGGCAAAAACACTCACATGAAAGCAGGTTTTCTTCGACGGCCCAAACATGGTGGCGTCAATCCAAATCACATAAAAAAGATACGGTAACAATTTTGGGACAAAAAGGCATTTGAATGTAGCTTTTTCTCAGTGACCAAAGCATGGGGGTGTCAATTCAAACGGTACCCGAAGAATACACTAACGATTTAGCAAGAACAAAAACAAAACAAAAGCATGGGAAGTGAGCTTAACCCAACCAAACCATGGGCGTTAATCCAAATTGTAGCCAAGGGATATGGTAACGCTAAAGATTCGGTAGGTGCATAATGGCATTGATTACAGCGGCTAACCTTACCTGGTAGTGGTTAAATCCAGTGTAGGACAACATTGACAGACGACGGAAGTGGCAACGATGGAGCGTGGGCTACACAGCTTATAACGGACTACGGTGGCTAGCCCTACAAGGCGGTGACTAGCTCGGTGCGGGACATCGTCAATAACAATGGCGCAAGCAGTGACTAGCTCGGTGTGGGACAGTGACAAATGGCATGTTGACTTGTTTGGCCTCGTCTTTTAGTGATGGTGGTGCAGTGTGGCGCTTGGCGAGCAATGGTGTGGAGCTTCTGGAGAGGTGCTGGTTGTGGTTGTGGTTGTGCATTGTGTTCTTCCTGTTTGTTTGCTAGAGTGTTACAGAGGTGTTCTTCAGTGGTGTAGTGGCATTGCGCGGCATGTGTGTCTTGGTCCAACCGGCCATGGTTGTCGTTTTCGTTGTTGTTGCTTTCAATGTTGTTGTTTTCTGTTGTTGATCCTTTGTAGTCTGGGTTAAGAAATAAACAGCCATAAGACAAGTGACAATCCTTGTACTGATGTAACTCAATATTACCGCTAATGTGTTTAACAGTGTAACGCCTTTGTTTCAAAACATGGAACACCATGTAATCCAGGCTTGAAAATCCTTTAATTTATTGACTCATACAACTCCTACTACATGGCTTAAGGATAGTAAATTCATACACCATTAATAAACTATAAAGTAACTATCTACATAATTAAACTCAACGATAAATTTTACCTTTCCAGAAAACGCAGTCTTGATTACCTTCCCAGAAAACAGCTATACTACTCCTATATGAGATGAGCAGTGCTCTGGTTTTTTTATTCGTGGTGTGAGGAGTAGAACGAAGGGAGGCCACGAGAGCGGGTGCACAGGGTCCTCGGCCACAGAAGATTCGGCGAACGCATTCAAAATCCAGCCCCCTCCGAGTCCGATCGCCCCTCCTCTTCGATGATTCCAAAAACGTCGAGCCGATCCACTCGCCGCCGCCGCCGCCCTCCGAATCCAAAGGAAGCAGCAGCAACCCCACCCGAATCTCGCAACGATCACCACCTGACCGGCTGACCTTCCTTGTTCGCCTTCGCCCCCACCCTTGCCCGCCCGCCGTCCAGCAGCCAAACCTTCCCCTTCTCACCCCGCCACCTCCCCTTCTTTGTCCTTCCCTTCCCTCGCCCCTCGGATAAGCAACCAGACCGCGCCGGAATCCTCCTCCATACGCCCCCACGCCATGGTGCAGAGGAAGCCGGAGCGCAAGAAGCCCAAGGACCCCGACGCCGTGCCGACTGGGGGCGGTGGCCCTGGCCCGGGAAGCAGGGGTGGCTCTGGCGGTGGCGGTGGCGGCATGACCCCGGCGCCGCTCCCCAACTACATGAGGGCGACGAAGGTCGGAGCCTCCGGGGCCCCCGCCGCGCCGCAGCCGCAGCCACAGCAGGGGAGGGCGAAGGTGGCGCTGACGGCTGCGGCGGCGACGGCGGTGCCGCGCGCGGGCAGGGCCACGTGCTCCTCCGCCATGAAGGGGCCCGGGGCCGACGGGCCGGCGCACGCGTGCCCGTACGCGTACTGCTCCTTCAAGGGCCACGCCCACGCGCCGCCCCTGGGCACTTTCGTGGCGGAGCGGAGGCGGCTCATCAAGACGCAGCAGAGCATGAAGCTCAAGGGCGCCTCGCCTTTCCGCAAGCCCAGCACCGCCGGAGGCCGCGGCTATTTCGTCGAGATACGTGCCGGGTCCACCGCGCCGACGGTGACCTCGGACGTGAGCTGCAGCGACATCTCTGCGGAGGACTCGCCGGAGGGTTTGGGTGCTGCTTCCGTGGATGACGGTTCATGCGCGTCCAGCGACGTGATCTCGGTTAGTTCGGTAGAGCTGTTGGGGACGACCGAGCATCGCGGCCGTGAAGAGAAGGAGACCTTGGTGGTCATGGTGGATCATGAAGGCGGGGACTTCTGTGGCTGCAAGTCTGACATCTCCGAGGAGCTGCTGGATGCTAATCATGGAGGAAACATTCCTGAAGGTGAAGTTCCTTGCAATGCTTCCTCTATTCCTACCGCTCGTGCACATGTTGGAATCGAGAAGCAATTGTTCATGCCTGATGAACGACAAGGACATGGCGATTTTGAAGGTGGCGTCGGCGATGCTCCAAAGGAATCATCAGTCGATAGCATTTCCAGCTCGCTCAGTGGGATAAGCTTTGAAGATGTTAGCTCTGCTTGCGTCTATGAAGCATCCTCTCAGAAGAAGAACAGGTCCAGCATTGCCAGGAGGAGGAGAACATCCGAACAGGGTGTCAAGCAAATTCGTCCTTTCAAACCCAAGCCTCCAAACTTCCTTCCTGCAGAAACCGGTCCAGAGGCAGAGAAAGTTGATCTCAAACATCAGGCGGTGGATGATCGGAGGGCCGCTGAGGAGTGGATGGTTGACTACGCTCTTCGGAAGGAAGTAAAGAAACTGGCTCGTGCTCAGAAGAGAAAAGTTGAGATGCTTGTCCAGGCCTTTGAATCTGTTCTGCCCACGGTTTCAAATGAGAAGAAGCCCGAGCAACACGATAATGGTGACAAGAGAACATTCACTCTTACATGGCCTTCGCAAGCATGTAGCTGATAGATAGCCTTTTAGAGGTAAGGAACAGCGGTGAGGATTCCCCTGTTAATAGACTCTCCTTTGGTACAAGATTGTTGATTGAAATTTGTTGCCGTTATTATCTGTCTTGCAGCTTGTGGTTCGGCTGGAACTAATCATGATCTGAACTTCTGAAGGTTCTAATTCAGCAGTTGCTTCAATTTAGTGCCAGAGGATTGCTTACCACCATTATTTTATTATCTGATTGATTGTTGGGCTACTAGGAGCTCGCTGAGTTGGGTTAGTGGAGGGCCTAGGCATGTACATATGTCTCGTGTGCTCAGTTTAGTGATGAGAAACAGGTGTAGGAGACTAGCACTGGCAAGAACGTTGAGATGTTCCTTTAGACAGAGATTAATAAAGCTCTTATTAACCGCATTTCTTTCCCGGTTCGGATGCTGGTCATATACATGGATATAATAACTTCAATTTCTTTGTCCTGATTTATGTGAATATTCCATTGATTTTCTTATCGGCATCTTGTACTGAAGAGCTGCAGTCCAATTCGACCCAAGTGTTGCTTTCTGAATATCTGAATACTTCGGATGCTGTATGATCGTTATTAAGGTACTATAGTAGGACACATAGATAATCGATGAAGCTAATTGTTTACTGTTAACACCCAATAACAGCCCTACTCTGATCTTGGACTGAAACTGTAGACCATCACAGATTGGGGTGTAAGCAGTCTTGTGCTACAGATGGGCCAAACCTGGCACGGCCTGCAAACCAAAAGATTTGTACTCCTGTTCATTGGTGAACACTCTGAACAGGCTTCCTGATGAGTTTAAACACATCTTGGAAACCCTGATGAATCCAAGTGCAAGTCAGCAAATTCGTACGGCTAGTGTGTGTTTTTAGATCAGGAGGAACCAATCGGTAGAGCAGGTCAGATGTTCATCACCAAGAATGAATGGCATTGATGAATAAACATAACCAAAAGTGCTTCCAATGGATAAAAGTAGATCAAGCATTGAGGAATACTCCTAATATTGAAAACACAACTACTACGCAACTAGACCGTGAAAACTTCAGGCAGATGAAACGGTTCAATTCAGGCAAACACTAGTCACAACGGATACAAGGTTTGATGCTCCCACCAACCATAACGAACTGAAAGAGTGACACTCGTCTTCCTGACCATCGCTCACATGTTATGTTGTCAAACTCCCGTGGACCATTCAGAATGTCAGCAAAAATGATACAATAGCCATGGCAACTTCTGGTGTAGTAGACGAGGAGGGTTTCAACTCATCAAAATTGAGTATATTTCGGTGGAGTAAAATTCAGTTCAGCATAAACACCGTTACAGTAGGCCACAGCAATTTCGGTAGGAGGGACTCTATGCAGAAACCACTTTTCTGCACGTCAGTGCAGTGTGTACTTGGTGATAATTTTTGCGCATAAAGATGAGAAAAACAGTATATATATCTCATAGAAAGACCGGCAGGTAACGAGACCTTCAAACCTTCAACCATATACTCGTAGAGTGATGGGCATCTGCTTCCATGACATTGCAGCCATACCACATTGTTATAACTTAGATAGAATTAAACCATGAGAGATACTAAGAAACTACCAGAATGCTTTGAGCCTGAGGCTTGTATCAAGATTTTCTTTATACGAGTAATAGTTACAATTCACAAAAGGGCAATATGACCAAAATATGGAACGACAGGTTTTACAGTTACATTCTAGGTCTCTGAAGTTCGAGCCTTTTGAGTATCAGATCCTTTGAAAACAAAATCCCCGAATCACATTCATCTATAGCCCAGGTAGATGTTCAATAATCTGAAAACTCAATGTGATTCTGCCAGACTTGGAAAGTTCGTAGACCGTAGTGGTTGAAATTCCAGGCCAACTTGTTCATGAATCTCATGCAACCTCTTCACTTACTATAATATCTGAGCATTCATGCAACAACAACACAAGATCCTTTGATAGGCTTTTCATCCTATTTGATTCTGTAGCTCCATCTGAGGTTGATGTTACATGTGATCCTGATCCCTCTGAAGGACGATTGCTCTGGCAAATACTCTCATGGAACATCTGAAGAGCGTCATCTGCTGATATTTCTTGCACGGAGCTGTGCAGACCCTGTAATTTCCCTCTACACTGAACATCCGGCACCAGTTTTTCTTTCAAGCTGTCAGGAAGACTAGCTAATGCACTGCTTGGAAGGACCACAGATAGAAAAAATTAAAATCAGTGGGAAGACTAGAAGAGAATGGTAATACAAGAAATCTATTCTTGGAAGGATATACACCTGGCAACCCCGCGAACAAGGCCCCACTTGTAGCCAACGTTTACAGATTGCCTGAACCCAACATTGAAGCCTTCCTGGGCAGAGTCCTTCTGCCCTTCTGTTATACCATCCCGATAACCCATCTAGAGTAAAATCAATTTAAACATTTCTGCTATCAGCAAAAAACTGCAGAAGAGTAGTTAGCATTAACAACTGTGTTCCGGATAAACTCTAGGGTAATTAGTACCTTTTGAAACTGGTTCTGCCTGTGGACCCATTCTCTGTCTAAGGTAGACGCATGCCCATGAGAATCTGAAACATCTTCCCATACATCATCTTGGTCGACAGCGGCAACATCACCGCCATTAGCTGGGACAAAGTTTTGCATAAATAAATCAACTAAGTTCAGACACGAGATAAAACTACAGCAAGCAGTACTACTGATTAAGCAAACAACATGATAAAAAAAAAGATTAAGCAAACAACACATGGTTATGAAAGCACACGGTTTCCCCCTTGTTCGGGATACTCACCATATTGGGCAATTTCGTTCCCTCCTGATGAAGGCGCTGCTTCTACGCTCAGCTCCCCCATGGAGGTGGTGACGCCCTCCGCATCCCCGGGGCTGGCCATTCAGAAACTCCAACCTGCAGCCGGGGCGGCGCCTGAGCCCTGAGACGAGACCGCGGGAGGTCTAAAACGGAAGGAAGGGTGTGATCTGTTTGGCGCTATGCTCACCGAGGAAAACGGACGACCCGTCGGCCTCAGCGCGCGGCGCCTCTCGCCGGCGTCTCTGGCAAGCGGAGAAGCAGGCGGAGGCGAGGGGATTGGGGGGTCGGGGAGGCGGTGGTAGAGTGCTGGAGTGGAATTGGGAAGCCCAGGAACCGAACAGATCTAACGGGCCAGCCAATTGAAAGTTCCCCATACGGAATCGGCCCACTCAGCCCTATCCACGTATGTTAGCAGTCTTGCGCATCCTCATCGTAGAAAATACGGCTGGGCTAGCGGCCGGACGCGTAACTGTTTCGCATCGGACGCCCCGCGCTCGCATCAGATGAAGCACCAGCAAATCACGTGCCGCCACCCACGACCGATCCAGCGCTAGTGACCGCGTCCTACCATTCGCGATTCGATCCCCATCTCGGTTGCGCCCCCAGCGTCAAGCCCTTCCCCTGCCACGCCGCGCTCCTCCCCTCACCGTGGCGCCATCCCTACCGCTCCCCCGTCCTCTGTCGCACTCTGTTTCAGCCGCGCCCGGTCCCCGTCCAAACGTCTCATCTCCTGTGCAACATCCGTCCGACCGTTTGCAACATATGCAGTATACTATTGAAACATACTTGTATAGACATTGCAACATATAGATGAAAACACATGAAACATGCATCTGAAATAGTTGAAACATTTGGAACATACATTTGCAACATACGTCCAAAACAGATGAAACATGTGGAACATACACTTAAAACATATGTGTGTAACCATTGCAACATCAAACACATGAAACATTCAAATGAAACGCGTAAAACATACGTTTGAAATAACTGAAACATTTGAAACATATACTTGTACCATACGTATATAGCCATTGCAACATACGCAACATACAGATGAAACACTTGAAAACAACTTTTGAAACACAATTGGAACAAAGCATGGTGCTGCCACCTGGTGAGGAACTGCGGTAGCCAGCAAGTGACGCTTGGGTGCAGTGGAGAGGGAGGATGGCGGCAGGCAAGCGGCTAGGCGTGGTGAAGAATGTCGTGCGTGGAGCAGTCGTCATAGACCACGCCGCGTTGGCTCGAAGAACTCGGCGGCGAGTGGTGAGTGGCGGTGGGGAGACAAGAAAGCAGGCAGCAACGCTCGGGCGCAGCAGCGTGGTCGCGGTGGAGCAAGTCGCGGCGATGCAGGCGCGGAGAGTTGGTTTGAGAATGGATGGGAAACAGCGGCGATTCGAGAAGAAAGCGAGAGCGGCGATTTTTTTTAATTTCCATGCCTGTTGGGCCGTTCGTCGAGGCCTACCAACACGCAGCTGGACGAAACGGACGCCCTACCCACAACATTATCGTAAAAAAAAAAGAAAAAAGGAAGAATTCTTGCGCCCCTACTTCTGATTACTTTTTTAAACGAGAACACAAAATATAACCTTTGTGTCCGTGTTTTACTTATTGTTGATAGTAGCTTGTATCCGTGTGCTTCAATTCGTATTCATAGAGTTAACTAACCTTATTTCATGTGTGCACAAATCAAGTATGCTTGGTAGTTGGTACTTGGCGCTGGTCTGAGCCATGTTTGTAACTCAATTGACAAGGTACAAGGCGTTTGTTGCAAGTTACCATGCTGTTATCCTTGCATCTTCATTCTTTACAAAGTACAAAAGAACAGCTTAATTTCCTAATTAATATTTTCCTGATGTCTAAATCACAAATGGTTATTCTCCGGAACGGAACATGATGTAGTGAGAAGTACAAATCAGCAACAAAGGAAAACATAACCAAATGCGTAATACTAGGGAAGATTCGACAAATTAGGTGAGGGAGCCAGGGAGGCCTATAGAATTACATGTCCTTGGACTGCATAGAAGTAAAATCCTAATTAAAATCTGCAGGTGAGCAGCAATCATCATGCAGAGAAAAGGAAGAACTTTATGAAGGAAAGTATTAGAGATACTATTCAAGATCATGTCACAAATTTTCTTCTACAGTGTTGTACTGTTGTATGGAGGGGGTTTTCCCCCCGCAAACAGTGTTGTATGGAGTTGTACATGTTACCTATTCACATGTGCATTTATACATTGCATCTTGCTTACAAAGGCAAAAGGTTAATCAAGAGGATTGGGTATTGAGATGACACTTATGCGTTGAATCTCACAAGTTCTGCTTTTTGTTTAGATACTCCCTTGGTCCAAAAATGGTTGATCCAATCCTCACATTCGTGCTGCCCATCTCAATCTGCATAAAGTTAACATTAGTTAATGGAACTCCAGGAGTCCTATAGTGTGTAACAAAACCCAATTTCGTGGTCTTGTTTCAATGTTCCTCTGCAAAGAATGAATGATTATATTACAAACCGCTTGCTCAAAGTCACCAGACATTCCCATGGAGAGTTCAAACTGTTCTGCTGGTATGTCAAGGGCCTTGCAAACTTCAAGCTTACAATTCACCAATGCCTGTATTCAAAGCACTTAAAACAACAGGTTATGAAAGCCAACACAGATTGGCAGATTGCTCGTTGTCGTTTGTGATGAAGTAAGACTGCATAAGCACCTTAAAATTTTCTGGTGTTGACGAGTAGTCTTTCATTCCTATTGTCATCAGACCTGAAAATATTAGGTGTGGGCATGCTAGTTTCACATGCTTAGCAAGGTCGACACACCTGGAGGGGTCGATTCCAGATTTAGCTGAACAAAAGAAAATGTTTAGTCCATGAACCTGCTATTGCAGAATGATAAGCTAATTATACGAAAGATAAATGTGAACATTGCAGAATGGTAATGATTTGAACTTGGCCACAAGCTCACTTGTAATTTAGGGTATGCTTCTGAAGTAATAAACTGACTTCTCGTTTAGCAAAATTAATTGCAAAACCAATTAATAGCAATAATAATAATCTATCAGATCAAGGCAAACAAGGAAACAAATAGCACAAGTGCTTTATCTGGGTAAATTAATCAAGAGATAAGAGTTCTGATTTATCAATATTGATTCTGCACTCACATTCTTCTCCACTAGTGTTCACTTGAACCAAAACTTTCAAAGGCTCCCTTCCCAAACTGTTGACAGCTCGATCTAGGTGGTTAGCAATCTGAAAAATGTGGACTCTATGTGTTAATAAAGAAATCCACATACAATCGTAGGTAACAGGTACAAGAATTTGAGTCTGCATAACAACTTAACAAGTGTTAAGCTATATATTAGTCTTCATCTTTTGTACAGACATGAGATACATAATAAAAGGAACAGTACTTGTTGCTGATTGCTTACCTTTTCATTATCTACACCCTCAACCACATCAAGATTTGGAACAGCAGCTGAAAAAAAAGAAAGAGACAAGGCTTAGCTGGCATTCTGGCAATACAAAAGATAGATGATGTCGAGAAAAACACTATGAAAGAACTGTATTGATATTACTCTTATCATTTTCATATACTGTACACTGCTTAGTAAGTATTACTACCAATTGTCATGATGGTGCTAAGCAAGAACGGCTTTCCAGTACTAACTATTCATTACAAGGTGACGCAAGTGGCAAGCACTAACGCAGTGTTTGGTACACGTCAATGTAACGTGATTCGATTACTGCCGGTAACTGATTCCATTAATTAATGTTTGTTTCCGGCCTCGTGGAATCGAGTACCGCCGTTATCAGATACCATACTGTACAAAGCTGATACAGCTCCAGCCCCCGTGTAATCAGATTACGGACTCGTCGTCTTCCCGCGTAATCATATTCCCTTTGCGTTTCCAATACCATTTCAGCAACCAAACATGTCGTAAATAATCATAACATTTAGAACTTCAGTTTCTAACTACTTCTGAACAGACCAGCTTTTCTTCTTGAAGGGCGTCTATAACTTTGTTGATGCAAGCTAACTTATTCTTTAATTGTGCATAGAATTGAAACATACATGCATACCTAACAGCGGTTTCACTTTGTTGCTCTGCAGGTGCCCAATAAAATGCCACCGGACATCTTCTGGAAGCTGCAAACACACGGTAAGATCGAGCAAATCATTTCGCTCCATCTCCGCGCGAGGGATGAGCTGCAAAGTTGCAGAGCCAACGACGCAATCGAACTAGAGACAAGATCAGGACCTGGGGAGCCTTGGTGACGAACTCCTGCACGTAGTTCTCGCCGAAGCAGCGGTGGCCCGCATCGTAGAGCTGCCGCAGCATCGAAACGGGCTTGGTCTTCCCCACCGCCACAACACGGACCGCCTCCGCGGCGCGCCCCGACCGCTCCGCCGCCATCCCCGCCCGCGCCAGCACGGCTCGCAGCGCCGCCGCAGGCGCTGCCATCGCCCCACCAGCCACCACCAACCTCTCCTTTCTCCTCCTGTCTTTTGATTTATTTTTTTTTTATTTTTTTTGTTGTTGAGCAACACCTGTCTTTTGATGTTGTCGCCTCGAGCTCGGAGTGTCGCCTAACTCGCCTTCCCCGCCTCATCACAAGATGAAACGGGCCGATCCGGGCCGCGTAGCCTAGCTCACAAGGGGAGGGCCCATTAAAGCAAACCTGTGGGCCTTGACAGGTGGGCTAAGCTGTGGCAATGCCCATGCGGTTGAAGGAATGGGCTGCGGCGGCGCCAACCAAACGCGTCGTGCTCCGGGCAGGCCACGTGTCCCTCGAGGCTTCCCCGGCCACCACGTCGCCGCCCGCCATCGACCACCGCACCAATCAGCTGATTCCACTGGAGAACGAAGACTAGCGCAGTGCCCACGCTGGTGCAGCGCGCGTCGGATCAGCTGTGTGTGTGAGGACGAAGAAAAATGGACGCGGAGGGGTTGCTGGCGTCGGCGGCGATCAACCTGGGGCTGGCGCTGGTGGCGCTGTCGCTCTTCTCCCTGCTCAAGAAGCAGCCGGGGAACGCGCCCGTTTACCATCCCCGCCGGATGGCCACCGGCGATCTTGGTGCTGGTGGTGGCTTGCTGCCGCTCGGCCACGGGCGACTAACGCCGTCGTTCCGGTGGATCGGCGCGGCCTTCCGGCTCTCTGAAGAAGACGTGCTGCGGCGCCACGGCCTCGACGCGCTCGTCGTCGTCCGCCTCTTCAAGTTTGGGTACGTGAAGAGCGGTCGTAGGATTCATGAAACTCTAGAAGAGTTGAAAATGACACGCATTTTCACCAACTGGTCTTCTCTTTGTTATGACTGTTAATAATCTGGTTGACGATATCTCGTCGTTCGATGTGTAGGATCAAGTGTTTCAGTGTTTGCTCGATTGTTGGACTAGGGGTCCTTGCTCCAACAAATTATACTAGTGAAGGTCGAGCTGACATCAGAAGATCGAATTCCATGGAACTGTTCACGGTTACCAATGTGACACGGGGATCTAAGGCCTTCTGCAGTGTGGTCAGAGAGTGATGCCCAAAAGAGGAGAGAGAGTGTTTGGGCATCACTCCCAACACTGCAACAAGTGGTGCTTGTTTTGATTGGGGCCAGAAAAGTTGGAAGCGGTGAATCTTCATTCACCCGGTGCCAAAACATAAACAATAATTGTTCACTGTAGCGCTGTCAGAAAGGGGAATTTTCCATCGCGCGAACGAAGAAGGCAACGAGAGTATTTTATTGGAACTGGGTCCCAACCGTAGCAGACGGCATCGCTCCCAAAAATTTTCCACACTACAGCTGAGTGGGCAGCGGTGCCTATTACTGTACAACGGGCCCATTTATTTTGGGGCACCGCTCCCACACTACAGACGGCCTAATAGGTTAGCTCTAGTCTGCATATTTTCACTTTCTCATGAACTATTCAGTTCATAGATTGAGCAATGTTAACCAAGAAAAGCAAATGGTGTTTTAGTTTATGATGATGTAATTGTATACCGTTTCTAGTGTAGCTAGAATCATTTTTTTTTTGAGCATATGTAGCTAGAATCATGTTAATAAGTTGGGAAAATCAGAGTTTGAAAGGTATTGCCTACCAAGTGGAATGGTGTTGATTTTGTAACTGAAATAGTTTATGTTGTGCATGACAGGCTTTGGGTGCATTTTTTATGCCTTTGCTTTATATCCTTTTATGTGGTATATTTGCTTCATAAGGTAAGTGATTTTGGAAACCTTTCAATCAATCCACTTGTTCTTTTTTTCTTTTTCTTGGAAGGTACTGTTAGTATCATGCTTAAGGCCCAACAAATGTTTAACCAATCTCCTTGTTATTAGCATGTATAGGTATTCTAGCCTTCATACAGAAAACTGGAAAACCCTGCAGTTTCCGTTTTTATATTAAGAAAACAGTAATTTGGTGGCATGGGATTAGGGTTGTTATCTATTTAATTATTATATGACAGCAATTGGAATCTTAAAGCAGATTATTGCTCTGTAATCCCCAAACCAAGGATTTGTGTTATTTTGTGTCAGTTACTTATATCCATCGCTGAAAAGTGTAGCCTTGTGCACATTAACTAGAAAGGTCACTAGGCGATTTGGTTAGAGAAGTGTTGGTTCATCAATAGTTGAAGCTACATTGTCGAAGCGATAATCTGGATGATGTCATTGAAATCTTCAATTTTATTTGAAGCAGGAATACAGCGAAATTACTTTGAGAAGAATTGAGCACTTGAAGTATCACTACAAAAGACATGATCAATACACCATTTTGGTTCGAGGAATTCCAAAATGTCCAGATCATGGAACTTACGGGTGCTATGTTGATCACTTCTTCTCAAAGCATTATCAGACATACCAATCATACCAAATTGCACATGACATAGGAAACATTGAGGCATTGCAGGTGAGTAGATTAGGACCATGATTCTGATTTGTGACCAACTAGCAGGTTATCGAATCAAAAAAATGTGATCATATTTCCAGAACAGACCACCAGTGAAATTATGAACATCAAAGTTTAGATGCTACTGTTTGTCACACATTCTTTCTTAGCATTATGGAAAAACAACTGCAGACGTTACTTGTGCATCATCCTTTTCGAATGCAAAATTTATGTGGAACTTAACCTTTTTTTTTTTGTTCAGTCAAAACAAACTTAGCATGATAGTGTTTTTTATTGGCTAGTCATGTAATCATCATTACAGAAGTTGGCATCCTCCATTGAGAAACGGATACAAAGGAAAAGAGAGACAAGAAAATGTAATATTTTGGGACGGATTTGGAGCAAGTTTACATCAGAAGAAACACATATTCACAACCATGAAGAAAAACTGAAAAATGTGCAAGAGACTATCCGCTTCCTACAGTGTGAAAATATGCTTAAACAAAAGGTAATTGTGTATCATTTACTCCATTTGCTTGTGCCAAGGGTATCCCTTAGTAGTTTATGTAGTAGAACAGACATATTGGTTTTTTCATAAAAGGTTTAATATTAGTTATAACTCTAGGAGGTACCTGTAGCTTTTGTCTCGTTCAAATCCCGGTTGGAGGCTGCCCAAGCTGCGGAGATGCAACAGCTTGTCAATCCACTGTCATTGGTTACAACTTATGCCCCTGAACCAACTGATATAATATGGAAAAATTTGTCCATTCCATTTTGGCGCATCTCTATGTTCAAACTTGGAGTCTTCGTTGCTGCGTTCTTGTTAACGGTGTTCTTCACCATCCCTGTAACAGCCGTGCAGGGGATAGTGCAATTTGAGAAGATTAAAAGATGGTTCCCACCAGCGAGAGCTGTGCAGCTTATGTGAGTGCCAGAAACTTGAATTGAATTGTGGTTCAGTTGGCACTTGTGGGTTTTACAATGTTGATATATGTGACGTTTATTATCTTGCAGACCGGGTTTGAATTCTGTTGTGACTGGGTATCTTCCGAGCATGATCTTAAATGGTTTTATTTACTTGGTTCCTTTTGCGATGCTTGGTATGGCTTCATTTGAAGGCTGCATTGCCAACAGCCAAAAAGAAATTAAGGCCTGCAATATGGTCTTCTACTTCTTGCTTGGAAATGTTTTCTTCCTCAGTATTCTTTCAGGTTCTCTACTCGATCAGATAGGAGAATCCTTCGAGCACCCAAAGAACATCCCTAACCGTCTTGCAAGTGCTGTTTCTGCACAGGTAACTACAAAGAAGATTTATGTATCACATTTTTGTTTCTTAAAATAGCGGATTCTATGGTGTAAACTTCAGGGAACATGGAGCATTTATTATTTCTACTTATGATGCAGTCAGATTTCTTCATCACATACATTTTGACCAACGGCATGTCAGGGTTTTCTTTGGAGGTTCTTCAGTTTGGTTTGTTAATATGGCAATTTTTAAAGGCGCATTCACTTGGACACAGTGAGGAACCATATCTTTATGGCTTCCCTTACTTCCGAGTTGTGCCCACTGTTTCCCTTGCAATATTGATTGGAGTGGTCTACGCTGTAGTTGCACCCCTTCTACTCCCGATCCTTTTGATATACTTTCTGCTCGGTTATGCAGTGTACATCAACCAGGTAATTTGTTCAGCTTACATGATCCATTGTTGTACAACTATCAGTTTCTTTGGTAGAGTTCAATCTTCCATTTAAGAAATAACAATACACAATTCTTTTCTATTCTACTTTGTGAATTCAGATATATTCAACCTGTGGTCGATATCAGTTTGATGTTGTCAATAGCCGCTTAACCTAGGTTCTCACTGATGGTGATTTGTGTTATACAGATGGAAGATGTTTATGAGATCACATACGACACATGCGGACAATATTGGCCCAACATTCACCGCTACATATTCCTATCAGTAGCACTCATGCAAATCACGATGATAGGACTGTTTGGGCTCAAGTCAAAGCCAGGAGCTTCCTTCGCCACAATTCCTTTGCTTGTGTTGAACATTCTTTTCAACGAGTACTGCAAGGTCCGATTTCTTCCAACTTTCAGCCATCGACCAGTCCAGGTACATTGATTCCCTCCTTAAAGCATATAGTATTAGCTTTGTTGTTCTTGCTTTGTTCTTCCTTTATTAGGTCCGGTGCTTCTACTAAACATGATTCACAAATTGTCATAACCTTGTGATCTCTCTTGGATATCTTAATAAGGTTGCCAAACAGAGTGATGAGCTTGATGAGGCTGAGGGTATGACTGAATGCAATGTGGACAATGCAATTTGCGCTTATAGGCCACCATGGATGCGTCCGACAAACCTGGAATCTAGTTCTGTGCAGCCCTTGAATGTTTGATCTGTTTTGCACGATAGCACCATGCACCAGCAATACTGGTGCTGATGTCAGTTTTGTTGTTTAATGTAAACTATGAATTTTTTTTGAACGTCCTGTGTCAAAAGAAAGCACATGCAATAGATTTCATATTGACTGCTGCAGGTGTCGCCTTCGTCTGTCAACTCGTGAAGTACGCACAAGCATAGGCATTACGATAACTGGCACAAGTTTAGTTCATGTTTCTCAAAACTGCGGGAAAGAATTCTCTATGTTCACATTTAAGCAGCCGACAAGTAATGACACAATTCGAATTACAGTATAAATGAGGCACTGACCTCCCAGTTGTAAATCACAGCACGAGAAAGCAAAAATCCTAGCTGCCTGAGCAAAAATCGGGCAGAAATCCCTTGAATTTGCGGGAGAGTCTACACATGCTGATATTGCTCGAGATGGATTACATGTTACAAATTCAGTGTCACGGAGAACTCTAGGTTCAGTATAATCCTTGTTTTGCTTCAGGTCACTGTGGTGCCGAGCCTCCTCGAGGCGGAGGGTGCTGTGGTGGCGGCAGGGGCGGTGTAAGGCCAACATTGCCCATTCCCTGCAGCAATCAGCAACACCAATGCTTCAGTTAATATAATCAATTTATAGTAATGTGGCTAGATAATGCAGAAAGTTTAATAATACAGACGACTAAACCAAGTAGCCTCTAGGTATGACAAAATCAAGACGCAACATGCAGGCTTACCTGGTAAGAGCATAGACCGGGAATGGATGTCATTTGTCCTTGTGGAGCCATTTGTCCCTGAGGACGATTATACATGCCACCCATAGGAAAATTTTGTATACCAGACGAACCTGATGCTCCTTGGATGTTTCCCATCCCACTCGGGAACCCACCCATTGGGGGTACAGTACCAGGAGGCACAGAACCAGGATGCATCTGATTTAGACCCATCATGTGCTGTGGCATTTGAGGCATCATCTGACTCTGTGAACCTTGCATTGCCTACAAATATTATAATTGTCAAATACAATCACAGTAGCTGTAATTTACCAAGGAGCACAAAGAATCCAAATATATTCTAATCTGGTTCCTTTCATGTAACATCAAATTAAACAGTGAATTCACAGTAACATAGAATCATGCAACAGGCAGTGTTGTGGAAGAAAAGTGTACAGTGATTCAGGTTTTGGGGACTAGAAAACTTAGCATAGCAGTTACTGCATGTTTTCGAACCAACCAGTCAATACCCTTATTTTTTCTTAAAAAAAGGATCCAAGGTAATGCAGTACTATTCATAAAAAAAAAAGTTCACTGAAAACATTCTTTTGATGCAAACTTGCAATGGTTTGCAGACGAGGCATTTGGTTTTCGATTATCACTTATCAGCTAAGATAAATAGAGAGACAGAACACGTTAAGTAAACAGTTATGTCTCCCTCAGTTTGATAAATGTATGAACAGTACCGTTGGGTGAGGCATAGGCGGAAGCGGTGGGTTCATTTGTGATGGCACTGATGGTCCACCCATTGGTGGAAGCTGGGGAAGAGTAGGCCGAGATCCTTGTGAATGTGAAAGCATGTGAGCTGGTGGCTGCAGTTGGGGCATGTTTGGAGGTGGTGGCCGAGTAAACTGGGGATGTTGCTGCTGAGGCATCTGTTGATACTGTTGCTGCTGCCCAAGAAGTGATGGATGAGGACCTGGTGGCAGCGGGGGTTGCCCAGGTGGAAGACCCGGAATAGATGGCCTCTGCTCTCCATCAGATCCATCAAGAGACTGGCCTGCCAAGGTCATTGCAACCCCAATGCCAGGGATTGTACCTTCACTGCGTGACAATCCAGGAGCAAATGGTCCAGGCGTTATTGGAGGTTCAGGCATCTGGAATCCACCCATACCACGAGCACCAAAAGCAGCATGTTGGTCACCATAACCTGAAAAGGTGACCATCTATGCATTAAGAATTCCTTCTTTGGAAGGAAAAGGTCACAAAGCAGCACAACACACCATTAAGCACCTGTGTCTGTGTGAAGCAAGTAATAGACAAGAATAATTATTTAATCTAACTAACGGGCGTACCCAGTGCAGAGAGCTCCCGCTCTGTGCGGGGTCTGGGTAAGGGTGTTAGTGGCAAGCCTTACCCTCGCCTGTGCAATGCAAGGAAACCGCAACTCGAACCCGGGACCTTCCGGTCACAGGCGGTAAGACTCTACCGCTTGCACCAGGCCCGCCCTTCAATTATTTAATCTAACTAAATAGTGATATTCGAAGGCATGTGTGTATACATGTATATGCAAGTGCAAGTGTATCTGTCTACTAATATGTTAATGTTTTAGGACCAAAACGGGATAAATAAGATGAAATAACAAGCTAAATTCAACTTAAAGGCAACCTTGCATCTGGCCATTGTTGTATCTATCACGGGTAAGATCACCAGGCCTGTTTCTACACCAGAACTTTGTAGCATGATCATTTCCCCCACTACAAAAGAATCAAAGTGTAAACGACTTTTAGTGAGTTCACATACAACTAAAGCATTAAACAAATAAGGTCACACAATGCACAGGAAATTGTATTCGAGAAGAAATTCAGATTATGTATGCATAACAGTACAATCTAAAAAACTATGCAGAACAGAAAAATAAGCAAGCAGCATATCAGAAAGTGTTAAATTACAAAATTCAAAAGCAAGCCAAGTACCTGCAAAGTAGATAGCCTACAGGATGCCACGAAAGATCCCAGACACTATTGTCATGTGCGTTACTTATTTCAACCTGTGGAGCTTCATGGCTGCCAAATAAATGAAACAGCTTGTTCATCAAGTTAAGACTTGAGACATTATTTTCACGCCACAAAAGATGTAAAAAGTTGTGCATCGATTTTGGAGGGTGAAAAGAATTGAATAACTTAGCACAAAGTAGCAAACTCCTAGGCTGACCAAGATCAGTAATTTCAATAATGCTATGGATATCTTACCCGACCAACCAATGAAATATAGCTCCATCAAAGCTCCCACTAACAAAATATTCTTCATGAAATGGATGCCACGCCAATGCTGTAAAAATGAAGGAAACGAATAACCAAATACATATTCAGTACAACCTTGGCAAACAAGAGTGAGCACCATATTTTCCTAGAAAATTTTTAGAAACTGTTCTAACAATCATAGAATGTATGGTTACAGTGAACAAATGAAATGCTACATCTAAAACTTGTGTCAATTTTTGAAGCTTAAAATATGTGAAGGAACATATAAAAATCTTGACATTGTAACAGTTATCTAACCAGTGACGTCCTTAGTATGCCCACGGAAGGATTGCAGCTCTTTCATGGATCTAATATCATACAGCTGAAAAATGAATTAGCAATAGAATTAGCAAGTGCACCAAAAGTTAATAATTTACTGGCATCAGAAAACAAAGTTATTGATCATTTTATCACAAGGATGGATTGACCCATCTCCATAGACAGCACTAGAATTTTGGTTATAGAGTGTACACTGCCATCCGACAATTCTTTGAAGACAATAAGAAAAACAGACCAAGGTACAAAAGCACAAGCCACAGACCTTAATAATCTGATCCTTTGAGGCAGTCAGTACCCAGTTCCCATTCTGATTCCACTTCACACAATGCACAATATTTTTATGACCATGGCTGCAGATATAAATCATAATGTAACACAGATCTTTAAGAATTAACAAAATATGGAAGTGGCAGGAATACCGACAATGAGCTCAGCTCCCTGCCACTTTTTGCATCCCAGAGTTTCACAAGATAGTCTTTGCCACCTATGAAGCACAGAATTGAATAAGTTCCGCATGATTGAACACATTGAACAAGTACAAACATATACTAACCTGAAACCAGTAAAGACTTTGTAGGATGCCAATCGACAGTTTTAACATCCCAACCGTGGCCTGGCTGAGTTGAAGGGAAATTCAGGTCATTTGACAAAAAAACAAAGTAATATCACATAATAACTTCAGATGATGAGATGTATGCAAGATTAATATTTGCAAGAAAAAATTAGCAATATTACCAGTCAATGATTTTTCCTCTTGGCATCTTGCGAAGTCCCAAACCTTCACGGTTCTGTCATCGGAGCAGGAGCAGAACTTCAAGTCTGTTCTGGAAAAACTGTTTGAAGGACATGTTTCAGCACACACCACACATTGAACATGAACACAAACAAGAAAAGGTGCATCAGACAGTCATCACCTTAAACCACGAACCGATTCTCTATGAGCTGTTTTATTCACTTTGACGTTGTTCATGTTACTTTGCCAATACCTGGAGAAGAATTCAAAAGGTTCAGCTGAAGGGTTAAACAATGTACAGTTCAAAATGACAATTTTCTGGAAGGTACAAAAACGAAGGGACGCGTACTTGATTGCGCCACCATCATCGCCCGTCACCATCCAGTTTTCATTGTGACTCCAAACCATTGATCTCACAGGTAGATCATGAGCCTGATTGTCAGGTTTCTCCAAAAAGTAAGTTAAAACTACCAGCATTTTAAATCCACAAGTAATTAATGTGGAATACCTGAAGGATCATTTCAAAGTTAAAAGATTGCCCATTCCATAGCGTAAATTCACCGCTTTGTGATCCAGTGATAAGTCGACGGCCTGTAGGGGTCCACTTTATCCACAAATAAAATTGTATTATACCCCAAGTGGATGAAAATAATAAAAGTAGATGTTGATTGAACTGATGATTATGCTACATAATTGACAATAGTCAACGCATTAAAATAGCCAAAATTAATAAGACAATACAGTTTCTTGACAATATTTACTTGGCTGGTACTAATGCATAAAAGAATAAAAGATCATCTGGAGCAATTTTTACCAAGATCACAAGACAAGGCTTGGATGAATTTACCAAAATGCAATAGTAATTTGCATGTAGCATTGCAATTTTGAAATTCTGAGTAGTCATCAGTCCAGGATATAAGTGGTAGATTCTAATATTGTGTTATTGTTAATCATGAATGGCATATCAATGAGCATATTTATC